ATTAACTAGTTGCTTATTAGCATACCTATCATTAACATATTGGCTGTTTATTAGTACTTATAAAGCACATATTCTGCATGACCATATTCTACATCCCTAATGCTACCCAATACCTAAACTTAACAACTATCTTACTAATTATTAATAAGAAGCAAATTAGGAGTTTATTGAGGTAAAAGTCATAGTTAACGGTTTGATCATAGAGAGAATTGGACCTTAAAGGGGTCATATGATGCGATTTAAATTTTTCCTTTCTCTTTGGAGTGTTACAAGCTCTTGTGCATAAAGAAGATCTGTAAAGTTGCAAAGACTAAAGTCTCAAATCCAAAGAGATATTCTTTATAAAAGTTAAGAGTCAACCATGCCTACCTAAAACGGCTCGTTCTAACACTGTAGTTTTGTTGTTGCCGCCACCGCCATGTTGTAAAGACGCTGTGTGCTTCGTTGTGAAAGCGAAACTACTTTGTTTGGTCTTCCAAAAGAGGACGATATCTGCTTCGTCATGCCTGGAGCTGATCCGTGCTGGTTGCTGAGGAAATACTATCACTTAGCGCTGTGTATCGCCGGATCGGCTTTCACCGTGGACGAAGCGGAGTCCAGCCCGGAGTCGTCACATGTCCTTCCGGACGCTCCTTCATGGAAATCGCCGGCCGCGCCGTTCTCAAGCCCGCCACCTCTGCTCACCCTAACCCTCCTGCCGTTCCTCACGCTAGCCCCCGGCCTCTGCTCACTGTAGGCCGCCTCTGCTCACTGTTGCTGTTCTGACTCACAGACCCGAAGTACGTGTTTTATATTTAAAGAGTTTTTATATTTTATATATTTAAAGCGAGTTTTTTTGGGCAGTGTAGAGTAGGGCTTTTTACGCAACGCGTAAAAAGACAGTATAAGTCATTATAATCCATAATTATGTCCCCACTGGATGCAACGAATGCCTCATTTATAATGGGTTTTCATGTTTTTGAATCATCGCTCCGGCCTGACAGGTCATCATCACAATATGGTGAGGGGCGTAACATTTCCGTCTCACGCTTGAGGTATTCGGCCAATCACAACGCACTAGATAGCTGGCCAATCACAGCACACCTCACTTTTTCAGACCGATGAGCTTTATAAAAATCGACGCGTTTCAGAAAGGCGGGGCATAAAGGAGAAACAATAATGTACAGTATGTGGAAAATAATTTTTTTTTAAACCTTAAACCGCATGAACACATTTCATTACACCAAATACACAAAATAATGTTCTTTTTAGCAGCATCATATGACCCCTTTAAAATAAAGTGTGACCCAACATTTTTTACATAATTTTTAAAATCTTGATCAAATGAATGCTATCACGTTGAACCTTTGTGTTAGTGTTTATTTTTTTTAATAAAAACAAAGTTTCATAGTAAGTTCAGTTGAGATTAGTACCAACGACCATTAGAATGAACTTAAAAACATATCAATGCACATTCATCTTTGCTCTGTGTCTCACAGTAGGTTTTCACCTTAATGAGTGAAAAATTAAAATCTCACATCTCAACACTACCTGTATTCAATGTGACTGCACAAGAGTCAGCATGACATCTCATGTTTTTCTCATTTCTTTCACATGCAAAAAGAAAAACATATCCCTCTCTCTCCGTTTCTCATCTTTACCGTTCTCGTCACCTCCAGCAGCAAAGCACATGCTAATTATCCATCTACTTGTTTTCCCTCCCAGTGCCCTCTCTTTCACTCTTTCTGCGTGATATGTTTCCATTCAAACCAGCAACCTTCCTCCCACGTCCCCCTCCCTACATCACTCTCTCCCTCTCTCTAGTTCTCTTTCTTCGGGCCGATGCACACACAGCACCCCTCTGCCCCGGGACCTGTCCTCCAGCCCATCCTAAATGGGCCCTCTGTTCTCTTCGTTCTCCACTCCTCCCCTCTCTTCTCGGGTCCCATCCTTTATGAGGCTCTTATCTGATTGCAAACACTCCCACACCACCCCTCTCTCATTACCGCTCTGACATGTAAAGGGTTTTATACCATTCTTCATAAAGTTAAATAAGTTTACGCAAGCTAATCGCAGGTTTTGAGTATTTTCAGGCTTTGAATGGTGTGAATCTACTCCAGATAATCGCAACTAAAGGGTGTTTATTAACTTGTCAATCAGTGCATTGTTGGTTTGGAAAAAGGCCCGAGTGTGTCTCTCATAGTAAGGGAAACATAGGCATTATTGTGAGTTTATATTTGCAATTGAGTCTTGGGGCTTAGCCATTGAATCCACAGCAAACAGTCTGAAAAGAGTCAAGAGCTGAGGGTTAGCCCCTATTGGTTTTTTAACAAAGTGAGTGTTTTGGAGGCATTTCAGGGGGAGGAAATGTTAAAATGTGAGGGGATGTCTAAGTATAGTGCTCAGCCTCGTGTATGTTTTGACCCATTTTTAGATAGCGCGAGTGTGTTCGAAAGAGAGAAATGACTAAAATTCCTATGTGTGCCAGAGAGGATGTTTATCAACCACATCTCCAGTAGGGTGCCTCAATCAAACGCTGTATACACAGCATGTAGTTGTATTTCTAGAGTGCGCACACACATACACTGTTGACAGGGCAGTCGCTCGTGTCTTGCCAGACCACACCTGTTCAAGGTTCCTTATCTGATAAATAACAAACACTCACCAGTTTTGAATATTCCATATCTCACACACGTTTCGACATGTTTCAGTCTAGATTTAGATTTACACAGAATTCAGAGAAGTCACAGAACTGGATGGGTTTAACAGGGCTTCTTGTGTCTTGTTCCAACAACTACATGTTTATTCTTTTAGGCTTGCCTGTTAAAAAAAGGCAAATACTGTATACAAGCTCAGCTGGTCAGACAATCATCATGCACTTCACAGAAACTAAACAGCTGAAGAAGAAGAATGGAATGTTGGGAGAAAACAAAATGCAAGGTCATTGTCTTGTTTGTATCTTTTTTTAACAGAATTGTAACCCTTTTCAGGAACAAAATGTGTCCCATCATATTTCTGCACATATCTCTCCTAAAACAAGCTGTGGTCTGTTGTATAAAGTTTCGTAATTAATGCTGTATTTGTGCTGATCTCTTTGGCAAAAATAAATAAATGAACAACCTACAACAGTTAATATCGTCTCAGTTTCAGAAGGCTGAATGTACTGGTAGATGTACAAGAACATCTATAGCAAATATGCTTCCAAATATGTCAAACTAATACACTGGGATCATCTCTGTAATGGCTTTGTCAATAATGTTCTCTATGGTTTTTTGTAAAAGCACTTTTTAAATAATTAATGTGATCAATATGGGATTTGATCGTGTTAACACCAGATGAAATTATCATGGATTTATGCCAAAATATTAAAAAGTTATGTTACGGATATAGTTGTAGGTTACAGAGTTACCAAGTGTTTCAGTGTTTTTTTAAATGGTAAACAACTATTTGGTTACCAGCATTTTTCTAAATATCTTTCTTTGTGTTCTAAAGAAGAAAGAATGTCATACGAGTTAGGAACGACATGAGGGGTTAATTCATATTTGAATGAACTATTACTTTTAAGACTCACACAAGCATCTTTTAAAATGACGTAATTGTATAATAAATCATAGTATAAGATGGTCAGTTTCCATCAAAAATCATCCTGTGATTCTTGGTAAACCCCTGAGTTTTCTGCATGGCTTTTGCTTGCTACATTATCCCGTCATTTTGATACATAGCTCTTTGAAGCAATATAACGCCAAGGTGTAAGTTATGCATCCCGTGATTTGGCACATGACAAGAAATAACAGCATAGTGCAAATTTGTGTCTCTAAATTAGGTAAGGCATCACGCAAGAGTGAAAAAGTCCCAGATTGGTTGGAGCCAACCCAATCTCATGAAAAAACAAAACTGTTTTGCAAGGTGGCAATTTCTTATGAATACGTATATTTGATTTGCAAAAAAACATCATTTTAACAACAACAACAAAAACAGTTAGCATGAAGGTCCAAGCCTGAACCTAACCATCAGTGGGGAATAAGCAGATTGTATGAAAAAGTACAGATGTGATTGTACGAATTCATACAAATCAACCACCAATTTGCCAAAACAATCTTTTTTCTTGATCCAGAATCACTCACAGTGGGGTTTCTCTCATCAGCAAATGGGAAACCTGGATTACAGAATACAGAAAAGAAGGGGAAAGCTGCTGCTCCAGTCATAACCCATTCCAGTCCATTTGTTGTTTAGCAGCTCACAAAGAGTAAGACATTTTCAATATAGGCCTATACTAAAATATAACCAAATTAACTTGCCAAAATTTTACTCTATGCCCTCTTTAAACTCTAAAGTCTTGTTTAGAACACCTGTATAAAAGTATTATCACACTTGTTGTGATATTTAATAACATGACTTTATTGCAACCTTATGCTAATATTCAGTATGACAGCACTACTGCATTTGAATGTTAATAATATATTCAGAAGCAGAACTACTTGAATGATAATTCTAGTCAAGCAAACATGTTCAAACACTAATGAGCCTAACCAGGCGGATATACAGTATCTGACTCTATGTCATAAAATATTGAGAACATGCACCTTCATCATGAAGAATTGTGGATAGAAATGCAGCCATATCTCAATTTTCTTTTCCCTGACGACATCCCACGTTGTTGTCTGGACCAAAAAAAGTGTCGCACCTCTGCTGTAATAACCGGTGGAGTCAATCTGACTGCCTCAATACTGCATCACTGCAAATCTACTCATTAAACCTGAAGAAAAGCTCTAAGAATAGACGTTTTCTCGAATACCCGCTAAGGCGAATCACAACAGCGCACAGCGCAGTCACAGCTGTCAGAGGTATCAGGTGTTTACATAAAGCAAAGCTCAATAACTAGCTGCGCCACACATCTGACTCAAGGGGTCCAGAATGGGGATACTTAGGTGAGCATGTTAAGTGTTTTACTCCTCTTTTACCCACACACATCCAAAACGTCACATCAGAGCGACAATATTACGTTTCAAGCGCAGTGTTACCTTGCCGTCTACGTTTTCTCCATCCTGAGTGTCGCTGAGCTCCGCGCCGATGTCCTCTGGCGCATCTTCAGGGCTCTTCGCGTCCCGCTGCACGGATGGTGTCGCTCCCATGGTGAATAACGTCGCTGTTTCTCCACTCTTAGTCAAATTACGAGCGTTCAAAAGGAAGTAGGTATCCAACAGCCCGTGTAAATGCGCCCTGCAGTCCGTCCCGAGGGTTGTCTGCTTTGGAAAGTGTTGAAACGGGTCTGTGGGTTCACTTTTAGGAGCCCTCCTCCCATCAGTATCACACGGAGAGCAGCCAGACACGCCTTACAGCATCTAACCAGAGAGAGACCTGGGAGTGCAACACCATCCGTTTACACAATTACAAACTGAGTATGGCTAACAACCTCTGAGATAATCATAAAAATTCTAGAAGATTTAGATGGACAAAATACACTTTTGAGGCAAGAACTTACCATTCTGTCTGGTTTATAAGCTGATGTAATTCTTAAATCATTAAAATAAAATGAAAATTTTATTTAACTAATAAAATAACTGAAAACATTGTTTTCTGTTAGTATTACAACTCACAGTAGTTACAGTAACAAAATGTCTAACAACACCCCCAGTTTCCCTGCCCCTATAAAACATTTTTGAGAACAAAAAGTGCTCATTATAAACTGCATGCTTGCTTTCATTTAAAATGCTCATGAAACTCCATAGAATATTAAGATATTATTACAGCAAGTGCTCCCCTTAGTCAAATTAAAAGTATGCAGAACCATAAATTTTACAATGGCATGCTGCTGCAGTAATGAAAATATTAAAGCTTAAGCTTCAGCCCTGGTTTTATTTACAGACAGTGGGAATGTCAACATTGGGTGCCGGATGGGCCTCCACAGAAAAACAACCCAATGGAACGTGTCCCGCAGGAAATCTCGAATTAAGAGGGCACTGTAGTTTGCGTCCACATGCATGCATCTAAACCAACCGTGCAGTGAGATCCCTCTTTCTCTCTGATAATTTTGTGTTTGGCTGTGCTCCAAGGCATTTTGTTCAGAAGCTTTAAAATGCATAAATTACAGGCCACATGCGAATCACAACCAAGTTTGCACAAGCCACCTCGTGGTAGCACAATACACTGGCTCTGTGTGTAGAGAAGTAAACAACACCTAGTTGTAAGGGTTAAGATTAAAATATGTAATGCATTCAGTTTTATTAAGAATACCGAATGCATTATGCATTAGGTTTAGGTAATTTGGTTACATTTATGTTATGCAAAGACCATTCCTGTAGATGCCTTTACGCTGTGCTAGGCGAAAGTTTGGTCATTGTTATAGGATAACTTGCGCTATAGTAAAAGAGGAAAAAACATTTAAAGAATGGACTGAAGTAAAATACGTAAGATACGTTTGCCTTTCAGAAATACCCAGACCATATTTAGAGGCAGTAGTTTGTGGTGGTAAGAGAAGTGGTATGTTTTGAGCACATTGTTAAATCCATAATTTAAAAAGACATAAGCAAAAAGGCTCAGTTCATGACCTGTATTGAGAGTGTAAGGGAGTTTTTTTTGTCTTTAAAAAAACTCATTTCTTAAGAGCAGTGATTAACTTATATCCAACATTTGACAGGTTGTGGACTCCTAATTTCATCAAGGTTCTTCAGGCTGTATCATAATACTTTCCCACTGTAATTGAATTAAGTAACATTGACTTTGCCCAGTGTGACCCTCACACATGTACTCCCATGTCCAAGTGATTAAAAATCATAATTTGGATGTTCAGTTTCTTTTAGGAACACTTGGTGCAGAATGAGGCCCAATGACAAATAAGCTGAAATCCAGAGCAATTACACTTTTTAGTAATTAATGATTTAATTTGCCTTTTAGCTGATGCTAAATGAGGCAAATAAAAAAGAATCACAATAATTTGTGCTTGAACTGCCAGATTGTCTAAATGTCACAAAAGAACAGCCCTAAAATAATTGAATTAGCATCTCTGTGACCCAGACAACATAACCTAATTGAAACATGACTGATTTGAGATTCTTGACATAGACATGAACTTTATTTGCCTATCAAAGGACTGACGTTAAAGACTCAGTACAGCTAATTCAGAGTTCCCAGTATTTGTTAGGCTAACAGGCTGATGCTGCAATAACCACAATGATACACAATGTTATTATTATATAACACCATTCAAAAGTTTGGGGTCACTACGATTTGTTTTAAAGTGAAAGCAAGTGAGGCATTGATTTTGTTACAAAAGAAATTCCATATATCCATTTCAAATAAATGCTGTTCTTTTGAACTTTCTATTCATCAGAGTTCTTAATGTATCATGTTTTCCACAATATTTAACAACACAACTGTTTATGAGTTAATGAGAAATGTTTTAATCAGCATATTGGATCATGTGACACTGAAGACTGTAGTACAAGCTGCTGAAAATTCAGCTTTGCCATCACAGGAATAAACAACATTTTAAAATACTGAAAAAAGTTATTTTAAATTATATTTCATAGTATTACTGTTTTACTGTATTTTTGATCAATTAAATGCAGCATTGGTGTGTATAAGAAACGTTCAAAAACATTACAAAATCTTACCAACCCCAAACATTTGAACTGCAGAGTATTGGGTGAAATGCATTAAATAAGCAGTAAAAAGCCTTACAAAAGGTCAAAAGGACAGCAGTCACTATAGCAGAAACAAAAACACATGCACTAAATAAAACAATTACTTTCCCCTCTTTTAAAGCACAATCTATTTGTTTTTTTTACAACATGGAACAATAACATCCTGGACTACTGGCCATTCATTTTGGGTACCCAAAAGAAAAAAACTCCATAAGCCAAGAAATTAGAAGTACAAGAGAGTACAAGTTTTGGTGTGAGAATATTTGAGTAAATGTCAAGCTGAGCTGGTCAGCTAATTATGGGTGTCTTCAATGACAGAAGCAACAGGCCTCTCTTTGAAAGGGGTATGAATGAGTACTGCTACCCTCACAGGGTGTCTCTGATGGGACTGCATCCTGTAGAGGCAAAAGAATAGAAAGACCCTGTGGGGGTCAGTCGTCTGCTACTGTTTAATACATCACAGCTCTTTAATCTAGAGGAATTTTACATTTGTGGACCAACAGTCTGACTTCACAATATGGATTAGTGATTCATTAACTTGTTCATACATGTGCACACATCACTAATGCATTCTCTCACACACACTCATTCATTCTCTCACACACACACACACACACACACACACACACACTTAAATGTTTGGTAAAAGTAGCCCGTTGATAAACAAAAATGAAATTAATGAAAATGTTCAGTATTGTTGTTTTATTTTTGTCTGGCCAGTCATCTTGTTCTGACTGCCTTTTTCACTGTAGAATCTATCATCACTGGGAAAATACAGGTTTTCAAGCATACATAACTATTGCAACAGTCAATGGAATTCTTCTTTACTCACGTAGCACTGTAGTTTAAGACTCAGAATAACAGATAACAGTGGAACATCTAAAACAAGACTTTCTGGCATGTACCTCATGCATGCTGAAAATGTGCATTCAAAGGTAGTGAGATCTATGCAACACTTCATTTATAACAAAGAGAGAGAGAGCGAAAACAGGTGTCAAACCACTAACGCCACTTGTAATTTTGTTTTGTGTAGTGTCTAAATAAAAGCACCTCAGACTAAAGATTCGTGGCATATTTGTCTATAACAAACATCTGAAACTGTTTAATGCTACACAAGGAGAATAGTAATTGTAAACACTAAAACACTATGTAAACAGAAGTGTTTACAGAAAGAAAAATGAAATGTAAAGCCTAAAACTCCAAATTCCAAGTTTCCAAATAAAAATGATTTTTTTTTTTTTTGAAAAACAAGAAGCCACTGCTAAGTACAAAATTCATGAAGTAGCTAACATTTACGAGTTAAATTTGGTAAAAAAAAATAAAAACCTGTGCAAAACATAAGGAGGAATGGTTGTCGATCTAACACTGGTAGTTTCATTGCTAGAAGGCAGTGGATGAGCTGTTATCAGTGGCATATGAATGGAGGTCTACACGGACACTCAGGAACATCTGAGAATGGGAGAAAGCAAGAAAGAGGGGAAAGAAATTAAAGGAGAGAGTTTTAGATACATTCAATCAAATCTGACCTTTTTGTTGTGTGGCATGAGCAAAACACAAACAAAAAAGCATTGTTCTGTCACTCTTGTGTTCTTACTGGTCGAAAGCATGTGTGGGACTGTAGAAATGTCTTCAGAAGAGTCCTTTTATCTCCTCTGTCACAGGATCAAGGTCAATGTCATAGAAACAGGGTCGCGTAGGCAAGCCTGGCATGGTGCTCATCTGAAAGAAATTTATAATTCAGTGTACAAAAAAAAAAGAAACATTTTGATAGCCAATAAATATATATTTTTAAATGTGCAAACAAAACACCACAGCACACAGTAAAAGAGTCTGTGTGAACTAAAGGTTTGTTGAATGAAGTTTAGGCACTTAGAGGACTATAACTGATACAATTGTTTTATGTAAAGGTGCTTTGTCAACGGTAGCGCTCGCTAACTTGCTCAAAGACTCCTCTCTGTGCCAATCACAGCAGGCTTGGCCAGCTGACCAATCAGAGCAGAGTAGGCTTATGGAAGGGAGGGGTTTGCTCCGAACTTGCTTGGAAAGAACCGTTAAGAAATCATTGGCAAATGACTCTAATATTAAATATATATTCTGAAAAAAATACAATGTTTTGGGACTCCAACACAATATTACACAAAGGGTGGAAATTACTTTTTGGCGTTTCATTGCAATATGCCAAACGGTTGTCAAAAGCCCAAGAGACTAAACCCAGATTGTTCAGATTGAAGCTCTTACCCTTCCCTATCTCCGAGACGGACTTTACGTTTCTTCAGAAGATGAATTCAGAAAAGTCAAATTCAGAATAAGAATTCAGAAGATGATGAAAACAATACAGGGGGTGTCAATGCATCTATGGTGCTTGACCCCAATAAAGAGTAAATCAAATGCAACACGGTCTCAGCAAATTCCCTTAAAAGGCCATCTGCTTGCCTGTGTGGTGTTGAGATGTCTTCTGTGCCAAAAAACATACAAGGGATTCAGTTATTGACCAGGATACAAATCTGCACTTCAGCAGTTTGTTTTTTCCTTTAGGTTAAAGAGTTCACTTCGTGCCGTCATATGAGCATTGCCACGCAAATAAACTGAAAATCTAGTTGCTATTCTAAATTAAGCCAAAAAATTCCCAGAATTATTTCCATACACAATTAGTCATTGTTCAAGAACAAATGGCAACTTAATTCATTTGAACACTTGGTTCAAATGGGCCATTTTTTCCTTACCGCAGACCATTGTGTCCGTTTATACTTTCTACCGAACATGCCCTTTGCACCAGTCTGCTGTTGACATGTGTTCATGTCAGTGTGGTGGGTCAGGTTGCCAAAACACCATAAGCCTTCCAGCAGTATCATCAGTAATTCATTGTGCGGCTTACAGCAGACACGGATTTGGGCAATAAATTTCCCGAGCTGAATGGAAGCGAAGATCCGTTGAGTCCCATTGTTCTCTGGCTGACCCCTCCCTCACATATCTGGTGCATGACATCAGTTACTTCCTCCTGTAACCCTCCATGCCTGCTTTGTCCCTCAGGGCCTAGCATTGAAAGTAACAGGCAGAATAACACACACCTGTCTTGTAGCCTGAGCCACACAGTAATGTACAGAAATGATTGGAACAGATATGACTTGCCTGTATAATGATTAAAATATTAGTTGACTATGACTGAAAGACAGGAAACATTCATGCCTGGAGCTGATCCTTGCTGGTCGCTGAGGAAATACTACAACTTTGCGCTGCCAATCGCCAGATCGGCTTTCACCGTGGACTAAGAGGAGACCAACCTGGAGTCATCACATGTCCTTCCGGATGCTCCTTCATCGAAATCACCGACCGCGCCGTTCAAGCCCACCCGCCTCTGCTCACTCTAACCCTCTGGCCGTTCCTCACGCTAGCCCCCGGCCTCTGCTCACTGTAGGCCGCCGTGAGTGATGCTGTTTCATTGTGAAGGCGTAAATACTTTGTTTGGCCTTCCAAAAATGGACACGACTAGAAATCAGTGGTTAAGTTGCATTTACAACACTGTTACAGAACACTTCAACCCAAATATTCAGATGTGTGCAGCGCATTTTATGGAGGACCGTTTCCTGATCCTGTTCTGACTCAAAGACTGTACGTTTTATATATTTAAAGCGAGTTTTTTGGGCAGTGTAGAGTAGGGCTTGTTGTTTGTCATTTTTCCGATCACAAATGCAGACATGGTTTTATGTTTACACGGTGATGCAACGCAACGCGTAAAAAGACAGTACAAGTCATTATAATCCATAATTATGTCCCCACTGGATGCAACGAATGCCTCGTTTATAATGGGTTTTCATGTTTTTGAATCATTGCTCCGGCCGGACAGGGCATCATCACAATATGGTGAGGGGCGTAACATTTCCGTCTCATGCTTGAGGTATTCGGCCAATCACAACGCACTGGATAGCTGGCCAATCACAGTACACCTCGCTTTTCAGACCGATGAGCTTTGTAAAAATCGAAGCGTTTCAGAAAGGAGGGGCATAGAGGAAAAACAATGTACAGAATGTGGAAAATAATGTTCCAATCGCCTTTTAAAAAATATAAAAATATAAAACAGTTATTTTAAATGTAAAACTAACTCACAAATCACTATTATGGTTTACGACATTACTGTTTTTACTGTACTTTTGATCAAATAAATGCTAGAGGCTTCTTTCAAAAAAAAAAAACAAACAAAAAAAAAAACACCTTACTGACCCTAAACTTTTGAACAGTAGTTCAAAAATAAAAAAAATTCATAATTAATCTAATTTCAGACTTTCTTGCATGGTAAATGAGATATCTAGCACAATGTCTTTTCAGGGTTATGGAGTAAATTTTCAGAACTTTATATTTCAGAGTGCATATATATATTAGTGCTGTCAAATGATTAATCCAAAATGAAAGTTTTTGTTTACATACAGTGTGTGTGTGTGTGTACTGTATATATTTATTATGTATATATAAATGCACACATGCACGTCCATAATTCAGAAAAATATGTTATATTTGTATATTAAATATTTATAAATAAATTATATAAATATATACATGTAAATAATATATATACTGTATGAGTGTGTATTTATTAGGGCTGTCATTCGATTAAATTTTTTTTATTTAATTAAAATCGCATCCCTTTTCTGTGATTAATCACGATTAATCGCACACTTCATGAAAGCATAGACCATTTATCTGGTTTCAAATGTTTATTTTGTCATCATTTGCTATATCCAGCACAGTAAACCAAAAGACTAAAGGGTGATTCTCAAAAATCTATATTTTCTGCAAGCTTTTTTTCCAAGATAAATTTAGATGTCTTTCCAAAAAAGGACACTTCGAAACTCCAAAAGGACACCAAAGAACCAAATGATATAAGGAGCCCATATAAGCACATATGAAAGGGAAAAAAATATCAAATTTTATAGTATGTGTACAGTGCAACAGCAAAGAGCTTTTTTATATTTTAGAGAAGTCAAGTTGCGATACCGAACAGGACCACATGGAGATGCCAAAAAAAACAACTAAACCAATCGCCTGCTGACTGCATCTACTACAGTACACGAATCCATTCCGTATAACTAAACACAGCAATATAAACATGACAAACCAAAACATTATCGTGAATGTGTGTGGAAACAATGTCAATGTACGGAATTGTCTGTGCCTGTGCGTAAATACAATGTGCGATCAAGCGTGTCAAGAGCACTCGTACACGCATTAATATAACGGACTCACGCGTGCTTACTGTAAGACTCCTGTACGCCACCGCAATAGTCTTTACCTTGATTGCAGGCTTCATCCATCAAAACTTTACTAGCGAGACTGGTTATCCAGTCGAGAAAACTTAGTTTGCGTCTCATCTGGCCATACAGCGGTGGGATGTGTTGACAAACCGTTCAGTCTGTACTTCACACAGTGCGACATTTGAAGGCTTGCGCTCTTCAGAGACAATCACAGAATATGACACAGCTCGTGTTTAAAAGCGAAATACACAGGAATTAATAATTAACTTAAAATGCAACACGAGTCTCTGTTCTCTCTGCAATCTCTGATGTAATCAGCCTGGTTTCCTTTAGATTAGAACTATTTTGGACGGATTGTTTGAATGCATTCGATTACTGGATCATTGGACTGAAAACTTTCCCGGAGTTTAGCAGTTTAAAATGATCTGATCGCAAGCAGAGAAGCAAAACTGGATTAAAGGGTTAGAATAGAAATTGTGTTTCAGTAATTGTGTGTTAATTGCGTTAAATTATTTTAACGTGTTAAGGATTGTAAAATTAATGGCATGCGTTAACGATGACAGCCCTAGTATTTATATATACATAATAAATATACACAGTACACATTATGTAAACAAAAACGTATTTTGGATGTTAGCAAATGGCTGCAATATAACAAAGAGTGAAAAATTTAAGGGGGTCTGAATACTTTCCGTACCCACTGTATATACACACACACACACAAACATACAGTGCCGTGAAAATGTTTTTGCCCCTTTCCTGGGTATTTATTTTTTTTGCATATTTGTCACACTTAAGAGTCTGACTTGCTTTGCACATTCTCTTTGTAAACACTGGGTTGGTACTTCCGCCTATGTTACGTGTGATCATGTAATGCGTGGCATGCGTTAACGATGACAGCCCTAGTATTTATATATACATAATAAATATACACAGTACACATTATGTAAGACAGGTGTGTGGCTTTCCTAATCAAGTCCAATCAGTATAATCAAACACAGCTGGACTCAAATGAAGGTGTAGAACCATCTCAAGGATGATCAGAAGAAATGGACAGCACCTGAGTTAAATATATGAGTGTCACAGCAAAGGGTCTGAATACTTAGGACCATGTGATATTTCAGTTTTTCTTTTTTAATAAATTTGCAAAAATGTCAACAATTCTGTGTTTTTCTGTCAATATGGGGTGCTGTGTGTACATTAATGAGGAAAAAAAATGAACTTGAATGATTGAATGAATGATTTTAGCAAATGGCTGCAATATAACAAAGAGTGAAAAATTTAAGGGGGTCTGAATACTTTCCGTACCCACTGTATATACACACACAAACATACAGTGCCGTGAAAATGTTTTTGCCCCTTTCCTGGGTATTTATTATTTTTTTTTGCATATTTGTCACACTTAAGAGTCTGACTTGCTTTGCACATTCTCTTTGTAAACACTGGGTTGGTACTTCCGCCTATGTTACGTGTGATCATGTAATGCGTGAGGTCAGGCTGGTGCAATACCAGCATTTGTGATTAAAAAGTACATACATTTTTACTGGTTTAAGAAAACAACCGATAATTTCACAAGATAAGACCCTCATTCCTCCACTGGAGAGCCCTTTGAAGCTGCATTGAAACTGCAATTCGGACCTTCAACCCATTGGCCACTATTTAAGTCCAATTTATGAAGAAAAATACAGGAATGTTTTCCTCAAAATCCTTGATTTCTTTGCGACTAAAGACAAATAAACATGAACATCTTGGATCAAGTGAACTAATCCTTTAAAATTTAAGCACTGACTCAGACATCTGAATGTATTGCAATCAAGCAAGCGAAATAACTAAATAAGGATAGATTTGAGGAAAGAAATAAAGAAAAACAGAACAGCACAGAGATGAAGAGATTGCACTGAAGTTCAAAGCATTGGCAGTAAATTCTGAGACGGGTTGAAGGTGAGAGGTCATGTGCGCTGGCCGTGTGTCCCGCAGCAGGCCCATGGAGATGAAAGGGGACAGAGCGGTGGTCAGACCGGAGGGGCTAGGTCACAGTCACCCATCTCCCAGCATGCTGCACAACGGACACCTCACCCCGACCCTGACCCCACTCTGCAGCCAGGACCTCACTCTCAACCCGGAAATGAGCTTCCTTCCCTAAGCCTCACCCAGCCAACAAAACACAAAACGACAAAAAGATCCAAAAATGCTGGCTTGATCAAACTGGGGCACTATAATGTGATGCAAAATCCAGTTGGTCAGGATGCTCAAACAAAGCAATATATTGATAGCACCACACAATATGATCAAATCAAAATGATCACATTTAACCAGTCAAACCGATTGTAAATTTTGGCATTCATTTCCATGCACGTTTATAAATATTTTTAATTTATAGCTTTAAAATGCACAAACAAAATGGGAGAATAAAGAATTTTGCTTCATACATCCAACATGTTGGAAGTCTGACTGGAACGGTGGTTCCTAAGGTGAACCAGCTGAGTTTAGGAAGAAAGTAGAGAAAACATTGGGAAAAATCCAGGGACGGAGTATCTTAATGAAAACCACAAATATGCGTGCACACATAGAAAAGCATGGGTCATTCAAAAGTTGACCTTCTCTCCCTGAAAAAAAAACCACACATGCTCTAAGGGCAGTTTTCACAGAGCTTAATCAAACCGCCTCACAGGTTTCATCGTGAATCCAAACTGAGAATCCAATAGACTTCTCATTAAATGAAAACTGCCTTGACCAAACATTGTCAGGAATTCAGACAGAGAGATATATCTGCCTTAGGTCAGGCAATATTGGCTTTTAGAGAGCAAAAACATAAAGGCAGAGGACTTTGGCATGAGTGCTGTTATTAAAAGTGCTAACAAGGTCACAGATCATAGGTTCAACCGTAATCCTGGATCCTATTAGTAACTGAAACATTCACTTACCAGCAAAGGAAGTAATAAAAGAAAGTAATGTGAAGAGGTAGTGGATGGCATCAAATAAGTGAAAGCCATCAAATATATCTGGATGGAAAGGGTGGATATGTAGATAGAAATGAAAAGAATGGAATAAGATGAGCTTCCATCAGATTTCAAGAATAATCACTTACAGTTCCAACTAAAGGGTAGATAAAGCCTGCCCCGATGCTGGCACGGATGTCTCTGATAGGCAGGATAAAACCTGTGGGAACACCTTTTTTCTCAGGCATATGAGAGAGAGACAGGTGGGTCTTGGCCATGCAGATGGGAAGAGCACCAAAACCCTGTGAGAGATCCACAGACAGTTAATATCCACAAGAGACATTCACATCATTGTTTCTGGGCTCTTGACATCCATTAGCCATTATGTTGTGAGAATGCAATGCTTCACTGAATGTAATTCAAACCCATTGGGCCAAGATTATCTAACTATTTAATATCATTGAACACACAGCTCATGAAACCAACATCAAACATCAAAAGATGGTGAAACTTAAAAATGGTGAACAAATAGAAGAATTACAATTCTTTGACATCGTAAATGTCATTAGACTTGGCAGATTTCTATGAATCAGTTCAAACCACCAATTTCAATCAATTAATTCAAAATGATCTTCTTGTATATGAAGTATATTATTTTTAAACTATGTATTGTTATATTGGTGCTTATAAATTAAAATAAGAGATTGAACATTAAAAGGTTGAAAATATTTATATAGCCTTTAATATTTAAATTAAAAAAGCTCAAATATCAAAATGATGTGCATTTTTTATGTTCAGTGGCAATGTCCAGCCTTCTCACCTGTTGATTGTAGTAGTCTATCTTAGCTTGAGCCTCAGGTGAAAGCTCAATGTCATCAGCACCATAAACCTTCTGCGCAATAGTCCGAATTTTCTCTACAATAGAATCCTGTTAAAAAACACATGGCTTATTTAACAGAACAAGAAAGTAAAAGATGTATGGAAAATGAACAAAAATCATTTAACATTCAAACAACTGAATTTTCAGCTCTAAAACGTAGCTTCTGCCTATCTGGTGGTCATACAATCCCCCCAGCAAGTTTGTGTAGAAGGTTGGGATAGCAAGTGTCCAGACCTCTAATAGGATAATAGAGAACAGGCAAAGCCAAGAGCAGAGATTACCGCGCCTTTCATAGCATCACTTAATCAAAGTCACAATCTCCAAAACTCACTAAGGTTAACTCAAACCAGCTGATGGCCCTACAGCCCCCCACCTCAACCTGACATATACACAATGGGAGCAACACTTAGCTCATCGTACAAGATTGAATTTCATCAGAGTGAATTTGCTCTGTCTTAGTGAGGATTTGTGTTTTACCTAAGCTCAGTGTTTACTGATCCACAAATGGGATCACAATACACCAGTCATAAGGGTTAATTTTTTGAAATTGAGATTTATACATCTGAAAGCTGAATAAATAAGTGTCTCATTGATGTATGGTTTGTAAGGATAGGACAATATTTGGTTGAGACCACTATTTGAAAATCTGGAATGTGAGGGTGCAAAAAAAAATCTAAATACTGAGAAAATTGCATTTAAAGTTGTTCAAATGAAGTTCTTAGAAATGCATATTACGTTTTGATATTTATGGTAGGAAATTTACAAATATCTTATGGAACATGATCGTTACTTACTATCCTAATGATTTTTGGCACAAAAGAAAAAAAACGATAATTTTGACCTATACAATGTATTGTTGGCTATTGCAGCAAATATACCCGTGCTACTTATGACTGGATTTGTGCTCTAGGGTCACAAATGTTTAAACAGAATATAAGAAATCTCATGCTTTCATTTTGACAGCATGTCAAAGGAGGCTGAGTAAGTTTAGGAGAGAGAAGGTATGTTTAGGACTGAAGGAAGAAATAATTAGTAAAGAAAGAAGAAAAGAAGCCACAAGATAGAACGGAAGGAAGATATGCATGCACAGGAAGAAGCATTTCTAGGTTTAGGAAGGAAAGAAGGAAGCCATGAAGGAAGAAATGCAGGAAATATGGCAGGCAGGAAGGAATGTTTAGGAAGGAAGAAAGGAAGCCATGAAGGAAGAATGGAAAGTGGGACCGAACAGACAGGAAGGAAGAAAGGAAGGACTGCAAAGGAAGGAAAGGAAGGAAGGAATAGAGAAAGGCAAGTAACAAGGAAGGAATGCCTAGAAAGGGAAAAAATATTAGGGAATGTTTAGGAAGGAAAGACAGAAGGCATTTTTTTCTGTCCTCCACAGGGGCCTCTAAGTAAGGTTTCTAGGGCTGTACAATTCGAGAGGGAGAGGGAAAAAAAACTAATTGTGATTCCTCAAAAGGATGTAATAAGATATAATAATGATTTTTATTAAAACATTAAAATTAGAAACATTACTGTTTTAATATTTCACTGTAAATAAAAAATTAAGTGCTGCTGTAAAATTACAATATTTCTTAATTTCTTCACTTTCAAATATTAAAACATCAAATTTTTATTTTATTTTGAAGGAAAATAGCTTTCATTGTTTTCAAACACTTCTCATTAAAAGTGTGGGAAGATAGTTGGCAGAGGAGATACAGAGATGGAGCAGCAGTTGCTGTGAACCGAGCTGCTGAAAACAGTGTTATGATCTACGTGCGAATAAAAACGCAGTGGCTTTACTCTACAATATGCAGCACATAGATTTAATTAAATCACAGCCTTTGCTTTGATAATCGCACTAAGCCATATCGTGATTTTGATAATATTTAGATTAATCATGCAGCCCTTTCAGAAGAATTTACTATTTACACGCTGGCAGAAACTCAGGCTTAACAAAAAGTATCCGAAATTCTAGAGGCTGTAACTCAACACAGCTTGGCTTGGATTGGTAGGCAGTGTTTTCATTGGGCTCACACACTTCAGCTTGTCCTTAAATGAGGGGGTGAAGCTTACACTGCTCTTAGTGTGGACCACAGGGCCTCCGCCATTCCCAGCATTCTTTTAGTGTCTGGGACATGTCGCTGGGCAGGGGAGGGACAAGGAATAAAAAGAATAGAGAGGAGCAAAGGAATGAGAGCGAAATGGAAAGAGGAAGTGATAAAGTGAAGGAGAGATGGCAAGATAGTGAGTGTGTGTGTTTTGCAAGGCATGTATTTTCAGGTGTGCTGACACTGAGAGGATTAGTTGGGTTCAGCTTTTAATAAATAAATATATAAACAACATTTAATAAAGAATCCAGTGTTGAGACAAATTCTATATCCTTGCAGAATGTTACTTCCCTTCAATTTGAAAGTCGGCACGATAACTACGGAAAAATGGTCAATTAAAGGGATAGTTCACCCAAAAATGAAAATTCTGTCATCATTTACTCACCCTCATGTCATTCCAAACCTGTATGAGTTGCTTTCTTATGTTGAACACAAAAGAAGATATTTTGAAGATTGCTGGTAATCAAACAGTTGGTGGTTGCCATTGTCTTCCATAGTTGGAAAAAAAATACTATGGAAGTCAATGGCAACCACCAACTGATTACCAGCAATCTTCAAAATATCTTCTTTTATGTTCAACATAAGAAAGCAGCTCATACAGGTTTGGAACGACACGAGGGTGAGTAAATGAGAGTACATACAAAACAAAGAACGGAGTGATGGTGAAGTCATTTAAATTCAGGAAAAGGAAGCAAAACCGGTTAAATAAATGAGCTCTCCATCAAATGGAACGAGACCACCTTCCTTTATTTACCTAAACTTTTATCACTGTATCCCAGCATCCTTCATTCACTGTTAGTAGGTGCTGATATATGTGACCCTGGACCACAAAACCAGTCTTAAAGAGGTCATATGATGCTGCTAAAAAGAACATTATTTTGTGTATTTGGTTTGGAGCGACGAGACAAAAACATTAAAACCCATTATAAACGAGGCATTTGTTGCATCCAGTGGGGACATAATTACCGATTATAATGACTTATACTGTCTTTTTACGTGTTGCGTTGCGTATCGCGCCTCGTAAACATAAAACCATGTCTGCACTTGTGATCGGAGAAATGTCAAACAACAAGTGCTACTCTACACTGCCCAAAAAA